CCACCCCTCTCCGAGCTTTGCGAATATAAAATAATTTCCAGCCATTTCCCTGATTCCCCCTAAGAACGGCTGTGTGCAAGCGGCAGTCTCTTCCACCCGGCTGCACTTCAAGGTCTGCCCCCTTTATTTACAGAGAATTAAGAAGTGGGTGATTAGGACTTCCTGGCCGACAGAAGCTGCCCTGATTCCAGCTCAAGCTGCGTTTAGTGACTCCCAGGCCCTCAGTAGGAAACAGAAATGGGAGGAGAGGGGAGAAAAAAAGAGAGAGGAAAGGAGAAAAGAAAAGGGAAACTGGAAGTTTCTGCTCGACTGCAGCAAACTTTCCTCTTAGTTAAGGCCTCTGTTAGGCAGCCTGAGACATCCAACAGTGCGTCTTTTGGCCAGGAATCTTGTCCTTGGGGAGAAGGCCCGGCCAGCAAGATTTGAGGACTTAGTACTCAACCGGGACTCTGGGGTCTGGAGAGGCCGAACCAAGGGAGTAGAGGAGGTTTTATTTTTCTCGTCTGTGACTCAAGGGGCCGGAAAGCAGGCTCCCTCCTCGGTCTTTCTCCACTGCAAGCAGTTCTTCCATGCAGCATTAAGACCCACTTAGCCGCCCTGTTCACCCCACATCCACCACCCCCGGAGATAAACACACGCACTCACGCACACTCACACACAGTAAGCTGGGTCCGGGGGTCGGTTTACCCGTAGATCGCGTCCTTGTCTCTTTTCAAGGCATCGTTGACAGCAGATCCCATGCTGGCTGGCATGACATTGGGGTGCGGGGCGTGCGCGCCGTAATGCTGCGTGGCGTGGAGCGGCGGCCCGTGGTTTAGGTGGTGAACCGGAGGGATCGGGCGCGGCGCGTGAGGGTCTCCGTACATAGAAGCGGGAACCCCTACTCCGTCCATCCCGCCGTAATGGGGCAGCTCATCGTACTGTCAGAGCCCGACAAGGGGGGTGGGGTGGTAGAGAGGGTGAGAGAGAACCCAGGAGGGCAGAGGCAGGAAAGCAAAGAAACACGGAGCAGAGGAGAGAGAGAGAGAGAGAGAGAGAGAGAGAGAGAGAGAGAGAGAGAACAGAGGAGTGGGAATCGGATAGAGAGGAGGGGGGAGAGGGAGTAGGACGGAGGGAGGGAGGAAGAGAGAGAGAGAAAGAGAGAAACAAAAATAAAAACAAAGTCAGAGAGAAGAAAAGTACCAGACACAAGTTGAACACACTACAAACCAAACCAGCAGAAACAACAGAGTTGAAAGTTGGGAGAAGACGTCTGTAAATTTTAAACTGAAAAAGTCTCAGCCGAGATCAGCATTCAGAGAAGGGAGATCAGGCCGGGGAAGCCGGGGGCGCAGGGAGGCCCCGCTCCCGCCGGAGGCTGCAGAATCCCAGCGAGCCAACCAAGGGAGAAGTGGAGTTAGCTAGAGGAGGAAGCCCCGGATCCCACCCCTAGCCCCCCTTCGCCTCCTCTAGGAGATCCAATAAATCAAAAGGCGAAATGAAACAAAATAAAGAGAAGAAAAACGCTAATAATCAAGCCGAGAACGCCAAGGACCAGAGAAGACTAGGGTCGGTGCCTCCCCGGGGGCTGGGGGCAGAGGGTGGGGAGGAATAACATGAAAGTTACCAGAAACATTATTTAGCAGCGGATTCCCTGCGTCCTTGTCAAATTCAGAGACAAAACAAGCAGCCCAGGCTAGTCTAGGCAGCGCGGCCCCAGCGGCGGCCCCGGCGGCGGCTCCGGCTCCTACGCAGCCCGCGCCCGCCCGGAGCCGCGCGAGCAGCGGCGAAAGAGGCGCAGTAGCGGCGGCAGGAGAACCCGGGGAATCGCGCTGCCGGGGTAAAAGCTGGAGCGAGGCGAAAGCGTGTAACAATTGCACACACGTACACACACACACATACGCGCGCGCGCACACACACGCGCACACACATACACACCACTCACACGCACTCGCCGCCCGCCCGCTCGCACAGCGCTGGGACACGCGCGCCCAGACACGCACACACGCACGCACACACACTCTCACACACGCAGAAGCACGGGGGGGAAAGAAGCCGATGAATAATTTTGCTACTATTTTTTAAAATACTGGCCGCCATCACCAAGCAGGAGCAGCAGCCAGCTTGAAGGGAGAGGAGGCATGGGGCAGGGCCCTGTAGGAGAGGATTTATATCTAGGTAAGTGTTGGAGATTTAAACCTACCCTTTGCGCCATCAGTCTGCGCTCCAATAAACTCCTGGATGTGTCGTATATTTAAAATCCCAGTCCGGATAAGAAAGTGAGCTAGGCTGAAGAGTCTTTTTTTTTTTTTTTCCAAACCAAGGAGACTTCTCCCAATTTTCCAATGTTATTTTTTTGGGGGTGGGGGAAGCCCAGTCAAGAAAACGAAGATTTTTTCAATGATATTTCTTCTTTTTCTCTTTTTTTCTCTTCTTCCTCCTCCTGATCTTCCTCCTCCTCCACCTCCTCCTCCCCCTCCCCTCCTCCTCCTCTTCGGTCCTCCTTTATCCCGTTTTCTCTTCTCTTCCTCTCAGTTGGAAAAAAAAGAAAAAGAAGAAGAAAAAAAATTGTCAAACCCCCGAACTGAAGGTTACGAGCGGCCAGTCAGCAGCCCACATGTAACCGAACTGTCGAGTTTCATGGCTTTTTGCCACTCCAGCTGTCAATCAAAGCCCGGAATGTCAAGGTAGTGAATGAATGATGGTTGATGATGATGAAGAGGAGCAATCTTTCAGACTCGTGTTTTTTTTTTCTTCCAGTAAAACTCCGCGAGGGGTTTCTTTTTCTTGAATTTTTCCTCCCCCCTCCCCCCTCTTTTAGCTTTGCCCCTAAAATAGCTCTAATATGATCCTCTCTCTTAAAAGTATTGTTCAAAGAAAGCAAGGAGAAAAATCAAGAAAAAAATGAATAGTTTGCAAAAATTGGACTTCCTCCCCCCCCCCTCTCTGGTAGGTATTTTGTCTCTCCCTCTCTCTTTCTCGCTCGCTCTCACTCGCGCTCGCTCTCTCGCGCTCTCTCTCGCGCGCGCTCTCTTTCTCTCTCTCTCTTTCTCTCTGGGAGATGAGTGAGTGTCAGTAGGTGTTGGCAGGTTGGCTGCAGCCCGGCTTATAGTAGAGCCTCAGTTTGGCGGCGCGGGTCGGCGGCGGGAGAACGAAATGACGGAACCCGGAAGTCGTGGTGGCCATAGCCCGTCGTGCAGTGGAGACACATCCCGGGAGTGGGGAGCTGGAGCGAGGAGGAGCGCGCAGCGCGGAGCCTCTGATATGCAGCGAGTGCGGTCGGACGGCTGGAGGGGGGGGGGGG